CCGGGGAAGGGTCGCCGCCCCAAGGCTGGGCGCGGCGGTGGGGGTGGTGGTGCAGGTGGAGGCGGTGGTGGAGTCGGGTCGCCCGGTGGTAGTGCGGACGAGGGGACCATGACTGGTGCAGCCGAGCAGCAGTCCTAGCAGCAGCAGGCGTCGCAGCCGGACTAGCACCAGCAGCACCAGCAGCCCCAGCACCAGCCGCAGCAGCAGCGACGGGCAAGTGGTCTCCCGCACGGGTGGCTTGGCACTGGTAATGGCAATGGACGTGGTGGTCGTGTGTGTGGTGTGCCTCCGGGTGGCAATTCGGGTGACGGGCGCTGTCAGTACCAGCTCCAGACCGGTCCTCGCCGCGGCTCCATTTGCGGTAAGATCGGTCACACCCCCATCCGCTGTTTTCGTCGCCTGGATGACCTGTTTCGTCTTCGCTTCGGCCCGTCACCCGACCTCCCCGACTGGCACAGCTTGCTTCGCCGTAGTGTTCCGATTTTTTATATGGACATGGATGAGATTAGCTCTGCCCTGTATGTGCTGTATGTTGATGACTCTAGTGTGACTAGTTCTTACTACCCCTTGTTGCCTAGTGTAGGTGTGTTTAGTCTTGCCTCCACTGCTGCATCAGGCGTAGGATCCCCTGCCTTGTTTAGCCTTGGTTCTTCCCTCACTGCTCCGACTCCGGCCGCCACTGCTGCGATCTCCTTCACCCTGGACTCTGGCGCTTCCTGGTGTTTCTTCCGCGAATCCACTACGCTGATGCCGCTTGCTACTCCTTCCGCAGTTTCCCTTGCCGACCCCTCCTCCGGTCCGGTAGTCGTCCGTAGTTCCACCACCCTTCCATGTCCGGCGGCTCCTTCGGGCTCTCTTACAGGCCTGCACATCCCCTCATTCTCCAGGAACCTAGTTGGTGTCAGCTGCCTCCAGGACCTTGGCGTCACCACTACGTTCCCCGGTCACGAGCGGTACGCTGTCTGTACCGAGGCCGCCACTGGTGCTCCCCTCACCACGTTCCCTCGGGACCCGGTGTTTGGCCTATTCACACTGGACACCACGTCCCCTCTGGTTGGGACGTCTCCTCAGGTGGCTGCGTCTACCCAGGTTGCTGCGGCCTGCTCGTGTCGGTCGCTTACTCACCCGACACTCCTGTGGCACCACCGTCTAGGTCACCCTGCACTCCCGCGTCTGCATCACATGTCTCAGCACGGTCTTGTCCTAGGTCTCCCAGGGTCGTTCCCCGAGTTGCCCTCCTCCCCAGCGCCACCATGCACGCCCTGCGCCGAGGGCCGGCTCCGTCGTGCCCCTCACTCCTCCTCGTTCCCCCCCACCGCCACACCGCTACAGACCCTGCACATGGATGTCTGGGGCCCCGCCCCCGTCCATGGGCCTCGTCGAGAGCGCTACTTCCTCGTGCTTGTCGACGACTACACGCGCTACACCACGGTGTTTCCCCTGGAGCGGAAGGCCGACGTGCCTGATGTCCTTATCCCGTGGCTTGTCTCTGCGCGTGTCCACCGCGGTCTCCCTGTCTTGCGTCTCCACTCCGACTGTGGTGGCGAGTTTGCCTCCGGCGTCCTTGGTCGTTTCTGTCATGCGGAGGGCATCACCCAGACGTTCACCTTGCCGGACTCGCCGCAGCAGAATGGGGTTGCTGAGCGATGCATCGATTTGGTCATGGAGGTGGCTCGTACCTCCATGATCCATGCAGGTGCATCCCATAATCTGTGGCCGTTCGCCGTTCGCTACGCCGTTCACCAGCTTAACCTCTGGCCGCACCCCCAGCAGCAGCAGGTTTCGCCGACCCTTCGTTGGACCGGGTCTCCTGGTGACGCGTCTGCGTTCCACGTCTGTGGCTGTTTTGCTCACGTTCGTGCCTCTGGCACGGACAAGCTCACTGCCCGCACCGTCTCCAATGTCTTCCTTGGTTTCCCTCTCGACTCGTCTGACTGGCACTTCTACCACTCGCCGTCTCACCGTTTCTTTCACTCCCGCGACGTCACCTTTGACGAGTCCATCTCCTTCTACCACCGCTTTCCCCACCATGGTCCCTCGGTTACTCCCCCCCTGCCCCATCTGGTGTGTCTCACGTCACCCCCCTCCCGTCGGTTGTCTCGGTCGAGGAGTCTGCTGACTCTGGTGGCCCTGTGGCACAGTCCTCGGCGCCTGCCCGTGCCCCGGTGTCTCCTCCTCTGTCGCTTCCGCAGCCGCCGTCGCCGCCGCCGTCGCAGCCGTCATCGCAGCCGCCGCCGCCGCCGCCGCAGCCGTCGCCGCAGAAGTTCGTTGACCCTGGGGGTGCTGGCATTGGCGTGGGTACTAGTCCTGGGGTTCCTGTCGTGGCTTGTCCCGGCGGGCCTGGGGGTGGTACCCGTGCTGTAGGGGTTTCGGGCTCTGGGGGTGCTCCTTCTGGGGTTGCTGGAGTGGAGTGTTTCGGAGGTAGTAGTGGAGCAGCATGCGGTCCCGGTGTCGATGTCGTGCCGCCGCAGCTGCAGTCACCGTCGGTGTCAGCCCTTCGCCTGCTCGGCCTTCTGTCCCTTGACCATGCGTATGTGCCTCTCCTGCCGTCTCCTCCTCTTCCTGTCTACGGCCTTGTGTTCCTCCCCCGGACTAGTCTCCAGCTCGTCTTCCCCCTCGTTCCCCTCTTGTGTCCCCTCCTACCGTCGCCTCCTCCGTCCTCCCTTGTTGTCGTGACTCCCCCTCTGTCTGACTACCTTCGTGTCGCTCGTCCTTTTGTTCCTCTGGTCCTTGCCTCCCTCGTTACCAACCCGTCTCTTCCGGTCTCGCGTCTTGACGCTCTTGTCGCTGCGGTCGCTGACTTTGCCTCTACCCACCGCCTTGACTACGCGACCGCTCTGGTCTCCGACCCTGCCTATCCTCCGTCCGTCGCGGGTGCTCCTGCCCTTGGCAGTAACGTCTTGGACTTCTTTCAGACCTTCGTCCCGACCCCAAAGATGACTACTCTTCGGGCGCTCCTACACATAGCAGCACTACGTGACTACGAGTTACACTCCCTCGACTTCTCCACCGCGTTTCTTCAGAGCAGCCTACACGAGCAGGTCTACCTGCGCCGCCCTCAGGGCTTCACTGGTACCTTCCCTCCTGGGACCCAGTGGCTCCTGCGGCGCCCAGTGTAGGGCTTGCGACAGGCGCCCTGTGAATGGCACGACACGCTGCGTGCTACCCTTGCAGACCTGCAGTTCTTTCCATCCTGTGCAGACCCCTCGCTCTTCGTTCGTGCTGGCTAGACCCCGTTCTACATCCTCGTTTACGTAGACGACCTGGTCTTTGCCACTGCAGACACTGACGAGCTGGCCTTCGTGAAGACAGAGCTGCTGAAGAGACACCTGCACTAACCTAGGAGAACTGCGCAACTACCTTGGCCTGCAGATCTCCAGGGACAGAGCAGCGCGCACCATCACCCTCACCCAGTCACACTTGGTGCACCAGGTCCTTGGGAGGTGCGGCCTTCATTTCTCCTCCGCACAACCCACACCTCTTCCAGTAGATCATAGGCTCTCTGCTCCAGTTCCTGAAGAGTCAGTAGAGCCCAGTGGTCCTTACGCAGAGCTGGTGGGTTGCCTCATATATCTGATGACTTGCACTCGTCCATATCTCGCATAGCCTCTCTGCTTCTTGGCTCGCTTTGTGGCCACAGGCAGACACTGACCTCAGCACTGGTCTACTGCTAAGAGGGTTTTGCGTTATCTCGCAAGTAAATGGGGCATGGGGTTAGTGCTGGGAGGACGCAGGCCAGTGGTCCTTACTGGGCACACCGACGCATCTTGGGCAGACGACGCCGAAACCCTCAGGTCCTCGTAGGGCTATTGCTTTAGCCTTGGTTCAGGTGCCATCTCGTGGAGAGCTACTCGCTCCTTGTCTGTTGCCCAGTCCTGCTGTGAGGCCGAGATCTACGCCGGTGCCATGGCGGCACAGGAGCTCCGCTGGCTGACCTTCTTGCTCACTGACTTAGGTGAGCGGCCTAGCTCTGCCCCAGTCCTTTACGCTGACAACAGGGCCATGATCCTCCTTTGTCAGGAGCTTCAACTTGAGGGCAGAGCGAAGCACATCCAGCTGCGGCACTTCGTCCTGCGTGAGCTACATCAGCGCTGCCAGGCACGCGTAGTACACTTGGCCTCCGGTGCCAACACACCTGATATCTTTACGAAGGCGCTTGCGCCTAACGATCATCAGCGGCACTGTATACATTTAGGTCTCGTTCCTGTAGCCTCTCACCTGCTAGGGCCTTGACTATGTATAGACCTTTATATATATTTTACCCTGACTGGCCTTGTGGCCTCTCCCAATGGCTGGACTTGTAGTGCTGCCCTGGTCTTGCTCTTGCGTTGGTTTGTTTTCGTTTGACTGGTCTTTAGACCCTTGCCTCAAAGGTTGGACTAGTAGTGCCACCCTGAGTTGCTCGTTCTCTCGTCAAGAACTGCCCCTATACAGTCTAGGGGGTGTGTCAAACATATATCATTATGTTTGTGTAGACTGTATAGGTTTGTGCCTTAGAGGGCACAACTCCTAGGTCATATACCCTTGTACACATGCATTCTAGTCATTCTCTCATTCTAACAGTTGGCTCATGGATGGGTCTGATCGAAGGGTAGAGTCGTTGACGGTCGAGATCAGCCGTGTTTGCAACAAACTGCCGAAGGAGACTGACGTGGAATGAATCGTGGATACGCGAGTCGTCCGGTAATGGTAACTTGGCGGTGACAGGTGTCACCATTCGGACAATCCGGAAGGGCCTACAAAATATCGGGCGGAGTTTATGTGGTAAACTCAACCCCAAATTCTTGGTGTCCATAAGTGTCAACTTATACATATATTATTATGTAGAAGTTATAGGCTAGATAGGGTATGTTCTTAGTGGTGTTACCCTGGTTTGCTCTGTCTTGCTTGTACTCTTGCTGATTGGTCTTCGGGCCCCTGCCTTAGAGGTTGGACTAGTAGTGCCACCCTGAGCTGCGTGTTTCTTGCTCAGCACTACCCCTTATCTAGCCTAGGTGGTGTGTCAACTTATACATATATTGTTATGTAGAAGTTATAGGCTAGATATGGCATATTCTTAGTGGGTACAACCCAAATGCTATATCTCTCCTGTTCTCCATTGTTCTAATTATTCTTTCTAGAATAAACAATAAGGACTAGTTGCCCAGGAGACAAGGGTAGAACCCGTCAATGCCTGAACGCGTACCGTTTGGTCGTAAGGTTGGCTTTTGAAATGGCCACGGTAGCGTTTTTCTATACAGTCTATAAGTCCTTGACGAACTGTTTCGATCGTAGGGCAGGGCTCTCAACTAACAGTGTAGTGGGAGTCATGGGGTTTAGACCGTAATTCAGGTAGAACAATGATTGGGCAGTCGTTGACGAATGGGCGTTGTTATACGCGAACACGATCAGAGGGAGGGAATCTACGCATTGGGTCGGGTCGGTACAGGTTGTCCGTATCAGTTGCTCCATGGTCTGATTTGTCCGTTCAGTCTGACCGTCGGTCTGTGGGTGGTAAGCAGTGGACAGATGGACGTGTACAGTACTGTTCCCACATTTTCTTCCAGAAGTTGGACATGAATCGGGGGTCACGATCGCCTTCGGGATTCCGTGCAGGCGAACGATGGTTGAGATGAACAGCTTGGCAGTTTGCACGGCTGTGATCGTCATTCGGCATGGCACGGAATGAGCCATTTCGTGAGTCGGTCAACGACCACGAGTACGACATCATTTTGGGATGCGCCGGCTGGCAGTCCTGTCACGAAGTCATTTTGGTGAGAGGGTTTCATCAGTGGCAGGTGGGCCATGAGGCCACATATTGCTGCACGTCGTGGCTCGCATTCGGCCAGTAATAATGACGTTGGAGCATTTTCAAGGTTTTATCAACCCCGAAATGTCATAAGCAATTAGCGTCATGAACGTCCTGTATCAGTAATTCCAGTAACAGTCGGTAGGATGGAACCCAAATTCGGTCAGTACAAGCTTTAAGATGGTAGTGACTATCAACTTATACATATGTTTATATGTAGAAGTTATAGACTAGATAGGTTTGTGTTCTTGGAGGGTACAACTCCAACCCTATATCTCCCCTGTTCTCACTTGTTCTAGTTCATTCGGCTACTCTAACATGGTATCATAGTAGGTTTGGTCCGCCCACCCGCTTCCGCCCTCGCCCTAGCCTACCGCCCCGTCGTACCCTAGCCTTAGCGCGCCCCGCCGGCCCTTAGCGCCCCGACGACCCCGCTCCCGCAAGCTGGTCCTCTACGCGCCTTGCCGGCCATTAGCGCCCGCCGGCCCTTAGCGTCACGCCGGCCCCTCGCGCGCCTTGCTGGCCCTTAGCGCCCCACTGGCCCTTATCACCTCGCTGGCCCCTCGCGTACTCGCCGGCCCCTCGCGTACCCCGCCGGCCCCTCGCGTGCCCGTCGGTCCCTCGTGCGCCTTGCCGGCCCTTAGCGCCCCGCCGGCCCTTAGTGCCTCGACGGCCCCTCGCGTACCCAACTGGCACCTCGCGTACCCCGCCAGCCCCTCGCGTGCCCGCCGGCCCTTAGCGTCTCGCCGGCCCTTAGCGTCCCGCCGGCCCTTAGCGTCTCGTCGGCCCTTAGCGTCCCGCCGGCCCTTCGCACCCCGCCCGGCCCTTCTCACCCTGTCGGCCCCTCGCATGCCTGCTGGCCCCCTTTAGCACCCCGCTGGCCCTAGGCGCCCCGCCAACCCCTCGAGCGCCCGCTGCCCCTAGCGCCCGGCCTGGCCCTAGCGCTCCGCCGGCCCTTGGCGCCCCGCCGCCCCTTTCGAGTCCCGTTGGCCCATCGCACCTTGCCGGCCTGCTGCGCGCCTCGGACCCTGTGTGCCCTGCATGGCCTTCTGCGCGGTCTTCCCGCCGGAGAGGTCTGCCGCCATGCCGCTGTGCCGCCATGCCGTTGAGTACCTGTGATGTTGTGTCACCGTGTTGCTGTGCCGCCGTATCGCTGTGCCGCTGTGTCACTGTGTCGCTGTGCCGCTGTGTCGCAGTGCCGCCGTGAAGCTGTGACGCTGAGGTTGCACGATGGCGGACACCGTACTCCGCCTGGACGCGGAGGGGCACGCGATCGACTTCGCCGCCTGGCTTGTTGATCTTCGCCGTCACCTGATAGGTTAGCGCCCGGATGGGCACTCCCTGGCTGTGCATGTTGATGGTTTGCTTCCCCGCCCCCCCGTGCCTGATCTCCTCCCTGCTGACCCTACAAATGCTGAGCGTGAGGCCTTTTCTGCTACTACGCTCACTCGCGCTGTCTGGGATTCCCGCGATGCCGTAGCGCAGCTAGCCATTAGTCATGCTCTTCCCCTGTCCGAGCGTCTGCGCTTCACTGCTGTCGCGAACGCCAAGGATTTCCTAGATACAATAGTTGAGCGCTACTCCACACCCGCCTCCGCCTCTGCTGGCTGCCTGAGAACTTTCCGGCCCTGTCTAAGATAGAGACTCGCCAGCGCACTATCGCTCAGTCGAGCGGTGTTGCGGCAGTCCCTATCTTTTGGGGCTGTGCTCCCTCCTAGTGCACGTATGCTAACGTTTCCACTGCGGTCGCTACAGCTGCTCCTGCCGCTGAGACCGCAGCACCAGCCTTCCCGCAGCAGCAGCGACAGCGCCAGGGCCGTCGCGGCCCCAAGGGAGGGCGTGGTGGTGGTGGTGGCGGCGACAGTGGTTCGGACGAGGGGGCTGGGGCAGGCATCCAGGAGCAGCAGCAGGCACAGCAGCAGCCGCAGCAGCCGTGGGCCCGCTTCCCGCCGGGGTGGCCAGGAGCCCCTGGAGGGGGTGGCCGAGGTGGCGGTCCTCGCAGCTCCTACCAGCGGCTTCGGTGCTGTGGGCTGCCAATACTAGCTCCAGACCGGGCCCCTTTGTGGCACTGTGTGCCGCCATCCGCACCCGACCACCCGCTGCTTCCGCCGCCTCGAGGACCTCTTTCGTCGCCGCTTCGGCCCGGCCCCAGACCTCCCTGACTGGCCCAGTCTGCTGTGCCATGGTGTGCCTGTTTTTGACTTAGACATGGTTCAGATTACATCTGCCTTGCATTCTCTGTATGCTGACGCTTCTAGTGTGTCTAGATCTTATTACCCTGTGTTCTCTAGCTTAGGCGTAGCACCTATATGTAGTACAGAGACCCCTGCTGCGTCAGGCGTAGGACCGTTTTCTTTGTCTAGTCTAGGCTCCACAGTCGCACCTCCTTCGTCTGCCGCTACTGCTTCGCTGTCCTTCACACTTGACTCCGGTGCGTCTGCCTGCTTCTTCCGCGACCACGCTGCGCTTATGCCGCTTGTTGCGCCTGCCGTTGTCACACTTGCTGACCCCTCCTCTGGTCCTGTAGTTGCTCGTAGCTATACTACCCTTCCCTGTCCAACCGTAACCTCGGGTTCCCTTACAGGCCTGCACATCCCATCGTTCTCCCATAACTTAGTGCTGGGTGGACGCAGACCAGTGGTCCTTACTGGGCACACATACGCTTCTTGGGCAGACGATGCTGAGAGACGCAAGTCCTCCCAGGGTTACTGATTTAGCCTTGTTCAGATGCCATCTCGTGGAGGTCCACTCGCTCAGTCTAACTGTGAGGTTGAGATCTACGCCGGTGCCATGGCGGCACAGGAGCTCCGCTGGCTGACCTTCTTGCTCACTGACTTAGGTGAGCGGCCTAGCTCTGCACCGAATCTATACGGTGAGAACAGGGCTATGATCCTCCTGTGTCAGGAGCCTCGCCTTGAGGGCAGAGCAAATCACATCCAGCTGCGGTACTTCCTCCTGCGCGAGCTGCAGCAGCGTCGCCAGGCCCGCGTAGTACACGTGGCCTCCGGTGCCAACACAGCTGATATCTTTACGAAGGCACTTGCGCCTAAAGATCATCAGCAGCACTATTTGCAGTTTTTTTCTAGTTCCTGTAGCTACTCACTTGCTAGGACCTTGATTGTGTAGTCCTCTTTATATATACCTTTTTGAATGGCCTTGTGGCTTCTCTTCCAGTGACCGGACTAGTAGTGCCACATTGGTTTGCTCTTTTCTTGTTTGTACTCTTGCTGACTGCACTTTGGACCCCTACCTTAGAGGTTGGACTAGTATTGCCACCCTGAGCTGCGTGTTTCTTGCTCAGCACTACCCTTTATCTAGCCTAGGGGGTGTGTCAACTTATACATATGCTTATAGGTAGAATTTATAAGCTAGATAGGTTTGTGTTCTTAGAGGGTACAACTCCAACCCTATATCTCCCCTGTTCTCACTTGTTCTAGTTCATTCTGCTAATTTGACAGTGGCCTCATTGAGCGATGAGGGCCTGGTGGCCGTTAGAGGTGAAGAGAGGATCCGTATTGTAGCCGTGGGTAAACAGTCCAGTTAGCAGCAGGTTAGCTTGGGCAATTAATACGGCGACTGTATAGGCAGTAGGGCAGGAAATGACATCGACAATATTATTTGGAAGTGTCGGACTCGACGTCGCGTGCAGGCTTGGGGTCTCGAACGTATAGTAGTTCAAATCTGATCTGAATTGTCGGGCAGAGCATGGACTTCCGAAAGTCAGGGCTGTACTCAATGTTAGCGAGGCTCGATAAGGACAAGTATTTTTCCTTACAATGCAGCTCATAACATGTCCCAGTACATTTACCCATTACATCCAAAAGAATGTAACGGTAACAAATAAGAACAAATGGAATTTTGTAGCTCACATGCGAGCATGGACAAACACCAACACCTACCTAACATTCATAAAGCCTTATTATTTGGCCAGACTGTCAAACATATCCTTGCATGTTGTTCTAGAATATACAGGATTGTGCCTTAGAGAGTACAACCCACTAGGTTATATTCCCTTGTATGACATGGTTCTATTCATTTCGTTAACTTTGATACAGACAACTATCGTTCATCAGCAATAGCTTGTCTCAATTTCATCGAAAATACTCCGAAGCTTGCTAACCATAATTGACATTGGAGGCCGTTGCTTCCAATTGCAGCAGATGGCATAGCGAACCAGAGTGACGGCAATAAGAACAGGCCTCCTTGCCCACTCCCCCTCGATAGCAGGGTCCATAACCAACAAAGGGTCGGGTAAATCCTTGGAGATTATTAACTGCCTCAACTCCTGGTACTGTGCACTGAGGGGGCAGCAGCCAGACATCAGCTCCAATAAGAACACGCCAAAAGCGAAGGTGTCAGATTTCTGGCTTAGTTGGCCAGTCTGGAAATAGATTGGGTCGATGTAGCCCATAGATCCAACCACTTTCGTTGAGACGTGCGTTTTCCAGTCATCTATAGTGCGAGCCAAACCAAAGTCAGCCACCACCGGAGTGAGATCCTGCAGTTACCAGTAACAGATTAAAAGGATGGAACATATAGATCAGATAAGGTGCTGATATGAGATGGAATGGAATGAGTCAGCACAAATTTAGCATGTACGGGGAGCAACTCAATGCAGCAGAAGAAAGGTCACAGCGTAGCAGGTGACAAAAGAATGGAATTATCGAAACACTCCCACCCAAGATAATATCATGGCCCCGTACCTCTCGCAGAAGCTCATTTGACGACTTGAAGTCACGGTGAACAATGTTGTGTGCGTGAATGGTAGCTAGTGCCTTAGCACACCCCAAAGCCACCCTCATACGATCCCTCCAAGGGAAGTGCACCTCGCCCTGGGGGACTGGATATGGGAGTACGGGGGAGGGGGAAGAGGAAGGGGAGAGGGATGAGGGGGTTGTTGTTGTGAGTTGCTATCCGCTTGGAAGAGCGAGAGGAGGATAGAGAATATACGAGAGAGGAAAAGCAGGGAGAGGGAGTGGGGAGCGAAGAGGAAATGCTAGCTCACCTCTTTTGAGGAAGCACTTGACGTCGCCCCCACAGATGAGCTCGAACACTAGGACAGGCCCTTAGGTTGTGTCTAACGCCACGCCTTCCAAACGCAGGATGTTGGGATGATTCACTGCTGACATGGCTGCCACCTCAGCCTGAAAAATGGCAAAACGCAAAATGTACTGACGAGCAGGATGCAAAGCCGCCGCATTTGCCATGCACTGGGACACAGGACGCGAAGCCCAATGCAGCAAGCTCGCTGCGTTGAGCTATGGATGGTGGAGGATGGGTGGCAGGCTTGTATTTCCCAGCTTGTTATTCGCCATGGATTCTGTGATGTGATGGGTGAACATAGAGGAGATGGGGTGGGTGGGACACATGAAAAATGGTTGAGATGGTGGAAACGGTTTTAGAAACCTTCCGATGGTCGTAAGCTGGTCCAGTATGACATGGTGCGGTGGCACTCAATGGAATGGAGACTGGAAGGGATGATAGAGAACGAGAACCCCAATGGCGATGCGGTGGGAGGGGAATTGGTGGACCTCAATATGAGGCGGCAGATCCCGTGGGAATGCCAGCCGCAATCGAGGGATTTTCCAATGCTGAGTTGGAATGTGTCGAGACTGACGACAGCAGCACGATAGTGTGACAGTGACTTCGCAATAGTGAGCATGGGGGCTGCGACTGGCTATCTGAATGAACGGACCGATTGCATTTCCTGGCTGGAGGCATGTCACACCGACGAGGCAGCGCGTCGGCACAGGAGCGAAGAACGAGTCATGGCCCTTGGAGATTGGCTGCACGGCTTTATCTAATCGGGAGCATTTCCACTTAGAGGCATTTGGCAACCACGAGCTCGCCTCACACGTCGACGTTCCACTTGCTCCAACCACCGACGAGCATCACGGTTCGGCCATGCGAGTTCCTCCTGTGCCAAAGTGGAAACACGGAAGGGAACACAAAGCTTGCGTGTGACAGCTGACGCAAGCAAAGCAGCGGACAGAAGTTTATGCTACACCTGTTCTACTTTTCACTTCTCTGCATCTACAAGGGCGGCTCGGTTTGTGTGCGTTTTTCTGGTTACCCACGACAAAACGGATTAGAGAGGTAACTTTTACAGTGCCCCGAGCCTTCGGCCTGTCAGACATAGGATGTCGTTTGCACAAGAGTGGTCTCAAATTGTCAGAATGGCGAGCGTTCGATTGGTTCATTTTGTTTCCAGGTCAAGATTCTGTCACTGTTTCGGATGACGTTGACAATATGCCCATTGATTCCTCCTGGGGATTTGCGTTAGATGGAGTTTTTAGGCGAAATGGAGTGCAGCGCTATGGAGTGTTCGCGAGAATAGGTGTATTTAGTTCTACAGTTTTGCGCGCGGCTCGAGCCTGCAGGAAACGGTCGAACACAGGCAAACGGGGAAGGGAAAATCCAAGGAAACACTGACACTTGGTTACTATGTCTCGCTCATGCACTAGATAAGTTGCCCGCGCAACCTCCCAACTCGCAATTGTTGAAATTTGACTTGACTGTTCGCTCACGTTCAGACTGCAGCCAATCACTGCCAATCAGGTTCAGTGTCAACGGGAGTCATGATTGTTAGAAATAGACTGCAAATACCACTTTTGTATTTGTACTTTTATATCCTAGTTTATGTTGTGAATGTTCTAGTGGGTTGGGGTGTACTCACAAATCCCAACCTCACCCAATTGTGATCCCCACAATCTCCAATTACCCAATTGGAGATTTCGGAGATCCCAATGGGGATTCCCTCCAATTCCCCCTTCATCCATTCTCTCTCACCTTGCCATGTACTTAAAGAGCCTTGGGCTCCTTACCTAATTAATCATTTCAACTCTATTTCTTACAATGATGAGAACCAGGTATTTGGGATTGAAATCTGAGCTGTTCTAGGTGAGACAATAAAGAGAAATAAGTGTAAATGATTTATCACAATAAATAGGGGTTCACGAGCGGAATTTCACTCTCTTTATTCTCTAATCGAGTAGAAAGTCATCATAGTAATCAATAATGGCACATCGATGCACACTCCCCATGGCCCAAAACCATATACTGTGGTCGATCTCACATCATGTGAAACATGCAGTACATTGACCCAAATCATACTCAGTGGCAACATACCATATGCCGTTAGCAACCTGCCTCAATTCTACCGAGAATGTCCCGAAGATAGTTTGCCATATCTGACATTGCAGGCCGTTCCTCCCAGGTGGTCGAAATGGCAAAGCGCGCCAGGATGAAGGCCATCTGAGCATGCTTTCCTGCCCACTCCCCCTCTAGAAGAGGATCAACCACCAAGGAGGGCCTACTGTAATCCCCTAGTGTGATCAAGTGCCTCAGCTGTCGGAAACGGTCACTGATCGGCGGAAAACCCGAAATGAGCTCTAACAGGAAGATGCCGAATGCGTAGGTGTCAGATTTCTGGCTTAGTTGGCCATTCTGGAAATAGACTGGGTCGATGTAGCCAGCCGATCCGACCACATCTGTTGTAACGTGCGTTTTCCAGTCCTCTATGGTGCGAGCCACACCAAAGTCAGCCACCACTGGAGTGAGATCCTGCGGTTACCAGATACAGACGGAAGGGAAGGGACATGGAAACCATATGAGACGGAATAGGCACGGGACGACCACCAGTGAATAGAAAACAAATACAGCACATCCATGGAGCTGCAAATTTTTTTTTTAATTTTTTTTTTATATAATGCTAAAAAACCAACCGCAATGTAGCAAAAGAAGGGAAGCAGGCTTGTACCATACCTCGCGCAGAAGCACATTTGCCGACTTGAAGTCACGGTGAATGAACTTGTGCGCGTGAATGGCAGCTAGCGCCTCGGCACACCCCACTGCCACCCTCATACGATCCCTCCAGGGGAAGTGCACCTCTCCCTGGCGGACTGGATATGGGAGTAGGGGGGAGGGGGGGGAGGAAGGGGAGAGGGATGAGGGGGTTGTTGTGAGGGAAGTGCACCTCGCCCTGGCGGACTGTGTTGGGGGGAGGAGTGGGGTAGGGGAAGGGGGGATGGAGGGAGGGACTTCACTATTTGAGATAACACAGGAGAAAAGCAAGGCTGAGAGCAGGTAGCAAGACAAGTGATAAGGAAAGGCATTTGCTGGCTTTCGACTGTCATTACGCGCACGTACAGGCACATGCAGGCACATGCAGGCATGTGCAGGCACATGCAGACATGCACGCACATGCAGGCACGTGCAGGCACATGCAGACGTGCAGGCACATGCAGGCACAGGCACATGCAGGCACATGCAGGCACATGAAGGTACATGCAGGCACATGAAGGTACATGCAGGCACATGCAGGCACATGCAGGAACATGCAGGCACGTGCAGGGGGAGTAGGGGGATGGAGGGAGGGACTTCACGAATTCAAGGCTGACAGCAGCTGACAAGTGAGAAGGAAAGGCATTTGCTGCCTCTCGACTGTCATTACGCGGACATGCAGGCACATGCAGGCACGTGCAGGCACATGCAGGCACATGCAGGCACATGCAGGCAGGTGCAGGCACATGCAGGCACGTGCAGGCACATGCAGGCACAGGCAGGCACGTGCAGGCACATGCAGGCACATGCAGGCAAGTGCAGGCACATGCAGGCACATGCAGGCACGTGCAGGCACATGCAGGCACGTGCAGGCACCGTGCAGGCACATGCAGGCACTTGCAGGCACTGTGCAGGCACATGCAGGCACATGCAGGCACATGCAGCAGCATGCAGACACATGCAGGCACATGCAGACACGTGCAGGCACATGCTTGCTATGAGGAGCGAGAGGAGGAGAGCGAACTTCTCTTTTCATGTGAGTGAGAAAGAGGGCGGAGAGGGGAGTGGGGCTACGGGGATTTCCCTCACCTCTTGTCAGAAAGATCTTGATGTCGCCTCGGGGAATAAACTCATACACGAGAATGAGGCCCTGGGATGGGTCCATGGCCTTGCCGTGCAGTCGCAAGATGTTGGGGTGATTGACGGCTGACATGGCCGCCACCTCAGCCTGAAATCACGGAGCAGATGGGAGCAGAGGGAATCTATATGCAAGCAAGGGGGTAAAAGAATGCATTCACGTTGGTACACGTGCAAATTTGTTGAGTTCTTTGTAACATTGTTAGTTTATTGGCACATCAACACCCAGGTGTAAGACAGAGACTCACATTGAAGCTCGTGAGGTCTTGCGCAACATCCTTCCCTTTCATCACTTTCACCGCCACTTCACACTCCCTCATCCCCCGCCTGTAGCGCTGCTGCTTCCGCCAGCAGGCAGCACCATCCGCCCATAATACACCTGTCCGAACCCCCCCTTCCCTACCACGCGCTTATACCCCCCGTTGCCGCCTTGATCTCCGCGGAGGTGAACTCGCGCAACACAGGGAGCGCGGAGGCGGAGGAAGCCCCGGCGGGTAAGGTGAAAGCGGAACCCGAGGGGCCGCCGCCGCCGCCTGCAGAGCGACCGGCAGAGTGACCAGCGGAGACGCGCGGAGAAGCAGCGGAAGGGATTGGGGAAAGCGGTCCCATATGCGCCAGTGTTATTTCGGGAAAGGGCGCTTGTTCCCCCCCGAAGCCGTTGGGGAACCAAGTGGGGGGAAGGGCTGGGGGAAGGGGCGCCGGGTTTAGAACCGGAGGTGGCTCCGCCACTGGCGCTGGCGCTGGTGCTGGCGCAGATTGCACGGCGCGAGGCATGCATTCGAATGTCACGGTCTCGTAATAGTCTGCCGAAGGGTCATAGTAAATGGCGGCGCTGGAGGTACGGGGGACATAGGCGGCGGAGGGAGGAGGAGGAAAGGAGGAGGGAGGTGCAAGGGGTTGACTGGCTGATGTGGTTCCGGCGCAGGGGGAATGGGCAGGCGGAGGGGAGCTTGAAGGGCCAGACGGCCGATGTGGAATGGTGGTCACGGAAGGTGTACTACCATATACTACGGCCGTAGAACGGCCCGTATAAGCGCATGCCGGGGACCCGCCAAGAGGCCGCACGGAAGGGTTTTCGGCTGGCTAGGCGTCCAATCGGGGGCAGACCCTGGAATGGGCTCGCTGTTCACCCGGTACATCGGGTTGGCAGCCGGGGATTCGCCTTTGCTCGGTACGCCCCCACCCGGAAAACGACTTTGGGATGAAGGTGGGCTTGCTACAGAATCTTGAGACGCGGCGCGATTTGTGTGGGGGGGGGGGGGTGGGGGGGGGAGATCCGGTGGGGGGGAGGGGGGATGGGGAAGGTGTGGGAGGTGGGAAATAGGGGGTATGGTAGGTGAGGCTTTCAAAGCCGGAATCATCGGGATTGTCGCAGCAGTATGAGAGGAGCTTGAGCAAGGACCGGGGGTGTGCTTGTATCGCGTACAGTGTGCGATGTGCCCATAACTCATTGAATGCACTTTGTGCATATTCTGTGACCAATTGTATCGCACGGTGTGACGGGGGCGAGGGAGGAGGGTTGACCGAAAAAACTGTAAAAACTCCTTTCGCTAACTGAACAATGGGGGAAAAAAAAATAATTTTCGCCAACTGAATAATATATCTTATATCGAAGCCCTCCCCTAGAACTCACCGGCTGACTTATTCGCTTTCGCAGGCGCGTCGTTGCGCCTGCGGCGTAGCGAATGCCAATGATATGGCGACTTGGCGACGTGCGACCTAGCGACTTCACACGGCTGCGGCTGAAGCGATTGCCCATGGCTTGGCGACCTCGTGACCTTTTCGACGGCGGAGCGATGAACTGGCGCTTTAGGGTTCGAAACGCCTGAAGTCCGAACTACCCCAATCGGAATTGTTTGTTCAAACGGTTTGAACACGACCGCGTGGCAATTGAATTCAAGCAACGTTTCGAGCTCCAAATATATATGCTCGGTAATCTGAGCGATCGAGTCTAATCTGGGGAAAATCTTCGCCTGCAATACTGGAATTCGCCATCTGCGGTGTGCTGCTTGGGGCAGTCTCGAGCATCTCGCTGTGAGAATTTCCCTTGGAGTGCACGTTATGGCGGGGAGGGGAGGGGAGGGGGAAGGACCTTCGAAATGGCGCGTACAACACCATGAAATGGGGAGGGGAGCCACGAAATGGGAGGCGAGGAGAATGGCTGAGCAGGTCAGGCGAGGACTCAGGTGGGTAGATGGGGTCAGGGCGTGTTTCCTGGGTTTTGTAACTCATAGATGTCACGCAACCGAACCTTGTTACCCGGGCTCGACAAGCTGCGCATGAAAATCGTGCGCAAATTATGTACACGGCAAAAACGTCCAAAGCCTGGCTAGCGAAAAATAGAACGCTTACATTCGCAAGGTATTCGTGACGGTTGCGAAGCACGGCGAAACGAACGGAAGAAGAATTGGAGTTGCATGCGCGACTCAACGGACTCTTTCCCGGGGCGAAACTCGGTTACCCTTCTGTTTTCGCGTGTCAGTCTATTATGTGCGTGCTGTGCACCCGCTCATTTGTCAAGCCACGGGCGGGGCTCGTGTTGCTCGTGTCCTAGCGTTTTGCTGTTGAGACTGTAGGTGTACCTCAACACATTCTCACTTGGCGAATCAATATTTCAGCAGGTTGGGGCAAAATGAACGCGGTGGACAGCCCTGATTGATCGAGCAAGCCCTTCGATGAGGTCACAAAGGATACTGTTCCGAGTGCGCACTTCAGCGAGAAGGAAATAGTACACATGAATCTACAAAATGACATTATGTAAGAGAATGACTTTTCCTTATGCTTCTAAAAGCATACACCACTAAAACAAGGTTCTTGGACAATACTTACCACGTTCATATGAGCTGCGTTACCGCGCTCATATGCCGGGTCACATGGGTGTGTTATGATCCATTTTCTCGCTTTCATTCCAAGCTATACCATTCTTATTGTAGTCGTGGGTGCATAAAACTCTAATATTACTACTCCATTGCTCCATGCATGTTATGATAATCTCCTGATAGTAGTCGAGTAATGCAATAGTGAGGTCGTGATTAAATTGTGTCAAGTACAAATGAAGCACATGGCTAAATACAACGACAGCTAGCCTAGCAAGAGAGCCTCGGGGAAGGCCACGAAACACACGCGAGGTGGTTCGGGGCGCCTCGGGACTCGAAAGTGTCGGACGCGACGCCGCGTGCAAGCTTGGGGTCTCGAACGTAGTTCGAATCTGAATTTTCGGGCCGAGCCTGGACTTCCGAAAGTCAGGGCTGTACTCGATGTTAGCGAGGCTCGATAAGGAAAAGGAATTTTCGTTACACCTCCCCCCCTCCTAGACGAGACTACCCATATTTGGGGCAGCCATATCGTGTAAATAGGCTGCACCAATGGGTGGTTGTTGAGGTTAGCAGCTGGGACCCACATGTCGTCGTCGCAAGTACGGTCAACCCATTGAACCAGAAATTCCAAAACCTGTTGACCTTGGTCTCGACGGATTCGGTGGGAGAGGATTTGCTTTGGTTCGGTGGTTGGTGTCAAACATATATCATTATGTTTGTGTAGACTGTATAGGTTTGTGCCTTAGAGGGTACAACTCCTAGGTCATATACCCTTGTACATATGCATTCTAGTCATTCTCTCATTCTAACATGGTATCATGAGTAGGTTAGGTCCAGCCCGCCCAACAGCGCTTCTGCCCTAGGTCCTAGCCGTTCCTAGCCGCCCCCCTCCCCCCCCCCCCCCCCCCCCCCCCCCCCCCCCCCCCCCCCCCCCCCCCCCCCCGCGCCCGTTCCAAGCCGGCCTCCGCGCCCGTTCCTAGCCGGCCCACGCGCCCGTCCCTAGCCGGCCCCACGCCCGCCCCTCGTCGGCTCCGCGCCCTTTCCTAGCCGGCCCCGTGCCCGTCCCTAGTCGGCCCCCGCGCCCGTTCCTAGATGGCTTCCGCGCCCGTCCCTAGTCGGCTCCGCGCCCGCCCCTAGTCGGCCCCCGCGCCCGTTCCTAGCCGGCCCCCGCGCCCGTTCCTAGCTGGCCCCCGCGCCCGTTCCTAGCCGGCCCCCCGCGCCCGCCCTTAGTCGGCCCCGCGCCCTTTCCTTGCTGGCCCCGCGCCCGTCCCTAGTCGACCCCCGGCCCGTCCCTAGTCGCTCCGCGCCCGCCCCTAGTCGGCCCCGCGCCCGTTCCTAGCCGGCCCCCACGCCCGTCAATAGCTGGCCCCCACGCCCGTTCCTAGCCGGCCCCCATGCCCGCCCCTTGTCGGCCCCGCGCCCTTTCCTAGCCGGCCTCGCGCCCGTCCCTAGTCGGCCCCCTGCGCCCGTTCCTAGCTGGTCCCCGCGCCCGCCCCTAGTCGGCCCTGCGCCCGTTCCTAGCCACCCCCCACGCTCGTTCCTAGCTGGCCCCCGCGCCCATTCCTAGCCGCCGCCCCCCCCCCCCCCCCCCCCGCACCTGCCCCAGCGGCCCTGCGCCCTTTCCTAGCCAGCCCCGCGCCGTCCCTATTAGGGCCCCGCGCCCGTTCCTCGTCGGACCCGCGCCCGTCCCCTCGTCAGCCCCGCACCCGTTCCTCGTCAACCGACCCGCCGCCGGCCCTGCGCCCGTCCAGTAGCCGACCCGCGCCTGCTCCGTCACCGGCCCCACGCCCGTTTCGTCGCCGAACCGCCCCCGTCCCGTGGCCGGCCCGTTCTACACAGCCCCGCACTACAGTGCACCACTCTGCACCGCACGGCACTGCACTGCACCGTACTGCACCGCACTGCACCATCCAGCACCGCTCCGCACCGCACCGCTCTGCACCGCTCCGCACTGCATTGCACCGCTGCTGCATCGCTCCTGATGGCGGACTCCGTGCTCTACTTCGACGCAGAGGGTTCGCCGCTCGAGTTCGACATGTGGCTGGTTGACCTCCGCCGTCATCTCGCTGGTCAGCGGCAGAATGGCCACTCCCTAGCGATTCACCTTGACGGTACGCTTCCCTACTGCTGCTCTGCCCGCTGACCCCTCGTCTGCTGACCGTGAGTGTGCTGCCGCTGTTGCCCTTGCCTGCTCAGTCTGGTTGTCGGCGTGACGCCATCTGCGCAGCTCGCGAGTAGTCTCTCCCCCTGTCTGAGCGCCCCCGCTTTAGGTTGTCACGAATGCGCAGCAGTTCCTAGACGCTGTTGTCAAGCGCTATTCCACCCAGCCCGCTGCCTCCATAGGTTGCCTGATCCTGCCGATGCTCTTTCCCGACCTTGCGTCTTTCCCCACTGTCGCTGACCTGGCCTCTCGCCTGCGCACGATAGACGTGACCTGGCGCTCTGCCTACACTGAGATCCAACTTAGAGCCTTTCAGCCGCCCATCTGCTCTACCCTCTACCTGCTTGCCACCCGCCTCCCTGACCGTCTTGCTACTGCCCGCGATCGCTTTCTTAGCATCCACCCCGGTGACCTCACCCTCACTGACTGTGTCGACACCCTGTCTGCCATAGAGACCCACCAGCGCTCTATCGCCCAGACTAGCGGTACTGTGCCGTTCCCTATCTTTCAGGGTTGTGCCCCTGCTTAGTGCACCTTCTCCAACGGTTCCGCTGCTCTGGCTGAGACCGCAGCTGCAGCGCAGTTCCGTCCGGGGAAGGGTCGCCGCCCCAAGGCTGGGCGCGGCGGTGGGGGTGGTGGTGCAGGTGGAGGCGGTGGTGGAGTCGGGTCGCCCGGTGGTAGTGCGACGAGGGGACCATGACTGGTGCAGCCGAGCAGCAGTCCTAGCAGCAGCAGGCGTCGCAGCCGGACTAGCACCAGCAGCACCAGCAGCCCCAGCACCAGCCGCAGCAGCAGCGACGGGCAAGTGGTCTCCCCGCACGGGTGGCTTGGCACTGGTAATGGCAATGGACGTGGTGGTCGTGTGTGTGGTGTGCCTCCGGGTGGCAATTCGGGTGACGGGCCGCTGTCAGTACCAGCTCCAGACCGGTCCTCGCCGCGGCTCCATTGCGGTAAGATCGGTCACACCCCCCATCCGCTGTTTTCGTCGCCTGGATGACCTGTTTCGTCTTCGCTTCGGCCCGTCACCCGACCTCCCCGACTGGCACAGCTTGCTTCGCCGTAGTGTTCCGATTTTTTATATGGACATGGATGAGATTAGCTCTGCCCTGTATGTGCTGTATGTTGATGACTCTAGTGTGACTAGTTCTTACTACCCCTTGTTGCCTAGTGTAGGTGTGTTTAGTCTTGCCTCCACTGCTGCATCAGGCGTAGGATCCCCTGCCTTGTTTAGCCTTGGTTCTTCCCTCACTGCTCCGACTCCGGCCGCCACTGCTGCGATCTCCTTCACCCTGGACTCTGGCGCTTCCTGGTGTTTCTTCCGCGAATCCCACTACGCTGATGCCGCTTGCTACTCCTTCCGCAGTTTCCCTTGCCGACCCCTCCTCCGGTCCGGTAGTCGTCCGTAGTTCCACCACCCTTCCATGTCCGGCGGCTCCTTCGGGCTCTCTTACAGGCCTGCACATCCCCTCATTCTCCAGGAACCTAGTTGGTGTCAGCTGCCTCCAGGACCTTGGCGTCACCACTACGTTCCCCGTCACGAGCGTACGCTGTCTGTACCGGAGGCCGCCACTGGTGCTCCCCTCACCACGTTCCCTCGGGACCCGGTGTTTGGGCCTATTCACACTGGACACCACGTCCCCTCTGGTTGGGACGTCTCCTCAGGTGGCTGCGTCTACCCAGGTTGCTGCGGCCTGCTCGTGTCGGTCGCTTACTCACCCGACACTCCTGTGGCACCACCGTCTAGGTCACCCTGCACTCCCGCGTCTGCATCACATGTCTCAGCACGGTCTTGTCCTAGGTCTCCCAGGGTCGTTCCCCGAGTTGCCCTCCTCCCCCGCGCACCATGCACGCCCTGCGCCGAGGGCCGGCTCCGTCGTGCCCCTCACTCCTCCTCGTTCCCCCCCACCGCCACACCGCTACAGACCCTGCACATGGATGTCTGGGCCCCGCCCCCGTCCATGGGCCTCGTCGAGAGCGCTACTTCCTCGTGCTTGTCGACGACTACACGCGCTACACCACGGTGTTTCCCCTGGAGCGGAAGGCCGACGTGCCTGATGTCCTTATCCCGTGGCTTGTCTCTGCGCGTGTCCACCGCGGTCTCCCTGTCTTGCGTCTCCACTCCGACTGTGGTGGCGAGTTTGCCTCCGGCGTCCTTGGTCGTTTCTGTCATGCGGAGAGGCATCACCCAGACGTTCACCTTGCCGGACTCGCCGCAGCAGAATGGGGTTGCTGAGCGATGCATCGATTTGGTCATGGAGGTGGCTCGTACCTCCATGATCCATGCAGGTGCATCCCATAATCTGTGGCCCGTTCGCCGTTCGCTACGCCGTTCACGCAGCTTAACCTCTGGCCGCACCCCCAGCAGCAGCAGGTTTCGCCGACCCTTCGTTGGACCGGGTCTCCTGGTGACGCGTCTGCGTTCCACGTCTGTGGCTGTTTTGCTCACGTTCGTGCCTCTGGCACGGACAAGCTCACTGCCCGCACCGTCTCCAATGTTCTTCCTTGGTTTCCCTCTCGACTCGTCTGACTGGCACTTCTACCACTCGCCGTCTCACCGTTTCTTTCACTCCCGCGACGTCACCTTTGACGAGTCCCATCTCCTTCTACCACCGCTTTCCCACCATGGTCCCTCGTTACTCCCCCCTGCCCCATCTGGTGTGTCTCACGTCACCCCCCCTCCCGTCGTTGTCTCGGTCGAGGAGTCTGCTGACTCTGGTGGCCCTGTGGCACAGTCCTCGGCGCCTGCCCGTGCCCCGGTGTCTCCTCCTCTGTCGCTTCCGCAGCCGCCGTCGCCGCCGCCGTCGCAGCCGTCATCGCAGCCGCCGCCGCCGCCGCCGCAGCCGTCGCCGCAGAAGTTCGTTGAC